AAATACGGTAACTGTTTTTAAATACGGTAACTGTTTTTAAATACGGTAACTGTTTTTAAATACGGTAACTGTTTTTAAGTTGCCACATGTCCCTTAAAAACCAGAAGATGTCCAGCAGGGCCATAAGCTGAGAACCATCAGAAACCTGTGGGAGCCTGGAGCACTCTGCTGTTTGGAGGAGTCCAGCCAGACGCTGTTTTAGCAGAACTGCGACTCAGGTCGTTTTCACACTAGATAGTCCGGTAGACTCGGTTCGGTTCGGGACCAATATTCATGACCTTTTGTTTACATTTGAGCTGGTGTGTTTGCATCCACACTGCACTGTGCAGTCGAGTCAACCTGTTGAACCAACCTATTCCCCCGCTCGCCTGTGGAGGCGCTGCACCAAGAACTACTGAAAGAAACAACACAAAACCTCTGAAGACACGTCTTCTTCTTCTTCTTCTGTAAATAAAAATAAAATGAAGTGGCATCAAGTTTTAGCAGTTTTAGGAGTTATATTTTGTAATTTTTCAAAAATGGACTTAGCATGAGCAGAAGATGAGACAGAAGACCCTGGAGAATATTGTTTTTCCACACAAGGCAGCTGACGGCTCCATATAAGGTCAGAGCAATGCATGTTTGTTTACCCTACGGAACGGGTCCGGTCTGTTTACATTCACACTGTACTTGAACCGCGCTGGAGTTCTCTTCTACCGGACGAAGACCTAGGTTTTAGCCCGGGCCAGAGTTCGCCTTTTTGTTCCGTGACAGAGTTCGATGGCACGTTCACACCTCCCTAAACGAGCCGAACTTTCAAGGAAAACGAGCTAGAGTTCAATTAAAGCGGACTAAACAGGGCTGGTGTGAATGCACCCTCAGAAACAAGGTCAGCTAGGAAAACATACCAACTGGGATGTGTGTGTCTAAAACTTTTGCACAGAACAGTTTATTCTGGTGAGTAAAGAGGATATCTAACAGGGATGTTCTGTTTAAGGGATTCAGATATTTCATAGATACTGGTGTCAATAAGTTTGCATCAAAAAGAAAGTAACTGTTGCCAAAACTAATAAAAAATATAACATTATTGCAGGAAATTATTAAAAAACAACAAGTGAATGCTGAGCTGCCCAACGTCGTGTTACTCACCTGAACAGACCTGTAGGTGGTGATGAAAGGAAGCATGAGATGGAAACCTGGACCACTGGTTGTAGTGAGGAGAGCTCCTCCCCTGGTTCACACACACACAAAGATTGTTATGTTGAGAGAAAATATTTGAGCATATTTCTTGTTACAGTAAAAAAATAAAACCTGATTCACTGTAAAAATGTGAACAGTGATGACACGTTTTGTATCAGCCCTCATTCAGGAAATTAAAAGGATATAAACATTTATAATTAGCTCTTTGTCTTTTTCTCTTCTTCTCCTGGGAGGGCGCGGCACACCACACTTAATCAACCGGCTCAGTGGGAATGAGACAAGACGTTTCTCTGATGAATTTCACAAGAAAGACCTTGTGTTTTTTAGCAACACCAACAAGAACCACAGAGAAGGGTAGTTTAATGTAAACAGCTCACTGAACCACGAAGAGGTTTCTGTGAATCTGGGGCAAGCTATTAATTTTCCTAGAAGGCCACATATGGAGCTGGGACTGTTGTGGAGGTCTGGAAAAAAACAGGCTAAACTCAGAATGGCCAAATATAAAGTTTAGCATTAAATATAACTTTCATTAGAGTTTTGACCTGCAGTTTCTCTCTGCTGCTCACACCTGGGCTCACCAGACGGCAAGACCCGCTCTGATCGGGTCAAACTGTGGCTCTGGTTCTCTTCATTTGTTGAAAGTAGCGTTGGTTTAATTTCTGTATCATTATTAGAGTTAGAGTGGATGGCTTTAACAAGACCACAACAAAACACTTTTTCTTCCCCCTCCTCATTTTAACAGACGGCGGAAATCCGTCGCAGCAGCGGAGAACTTTAACCCACATGAAGCTAAATGTATAAAAATATGTATACCCGTATTTTCCGCCGTACACGTCGCACCGCCCTATAAGTCGCATCAGTCCAAATATGTCTAATAAAGTGGAAAAAAATCCATAAATACGTTGCTTCGTTGTATACTTCGCATCTATTATGCGTCACTGCTGACAACCCGGAAAAGTGAGCCGGTGTTGTGCCAAAAATCGATGGGCTGTCAAATGGCGGCCGTAGGAGAAGAAGAATTTAACAAGATTAACATTTAAAAACAATTGTGTTTGCTCAAAATTACATTAAAGGTGTGTATCAGTTGAACTTTTACTTAATAAATGCACTTTGACGGTCAAATCAGTTGCATTTCAAAAGCCGATATGCGGAAGTAGGAACGCGCAGAGGGACGAGTCGCTGCTAACTCTAAAAACAATTGTTTGTTTGCTCGACTTTAAGGTAAAGGTGTGTCTCAGTCAAACATTTGCTTAATAAATGCACTTTAATGGTCAAATCAGATGCATTTTCAAAAGTATTCGCTGCCTCTGTGCTCCCTCCGGGAGTGTGCAGACAGGGAGGAAAAAAGGAAGGAGGAACACTGTGCAATTCTTCAAAATTTTACAAGATAAACACCTAAAAACAATTATTTGTTTGCTCGACTTTATAGTAAAGGTGTGTCTCAGTTGAACTTTTACTTAATAAATGCACTTCAGTGGTCAAATCAGCTTCATTTCACCGGGGCGGTGCAGCAAAATGAAGCTGATTTGACAGTTGCTCCAAGCGAGCTGGATGACGGTGGCATCTATGGCAAGCCAATTGTGTCATTATTAGCCACTTTTACCTATTATATGACACAACGGCATGCCATACTGTTCTGCTGCCATCTAGTGGCTAAAAAAGCGTTCAATATTTTAGTCAGAATGAATACCATACCATACCAATTTATTTATAGAGCACTTAAAACAGCAACAAGGCCAACCAAAGTGCTGTACAAAAGAACACAAACATGCACAGCAGACAGGAAAACATAAAATAAAAATACAGATACAAATAGCAGCAGAAGCTAACTAAAATGGCCAACAGAGTAGAGTACAGACAGGACCAAAACAAATCACACCGTGTTAAAGGCAAGAGAATAGAAGTGGGTCTTCAAGCGAGACTTAAAGACTGAGAGTGTGGGAGCCTGCCGGACACTCAGTGGCAACTCATTCCACAGTCGTGGACCTGCAACAGAGAAAGCCCTGTCACCTCTGAGCTTACGACGGGTTTCTGGGACTGAGAGAAGCATCTGGTCTGCTGACCTCAGAGAGCGCGGTGGGACATATGGCTGCAGAAGATCAGTGAGATAGGATGGGGCGGAACTGTTCAGATTTAAAAACATACATGAGAATTTTGAATTGGATCTGAAGGTGAATGGGTAGCCAGTGCAGGGAGGCCAAAACTGGCGTGATGTGCTCTCTATAGCCTGTACCAGTTAAAAATCGGGCTGCAGCATTTTGGACCAGTTGTAGACGAGCAATGGAGGACTGACTGATTCCAAACAGAAGTGAATTGCAGTAATCAAGCCTAGATGTTATGAAGGCGTGGATCACTGTCTCAAGGTTCTTTTTGGAGAGTGTAGGTTTCAGCTTAGACAGCCGTCTCAGCTGAAAAAAACAGGATTTGACCATCATGTTTACGTGACTGTTGAGTTTTAAGGATGGGTCCATTATCACCCCCAGATTAGTGACCTTTTGTTTCTCTAGCGGGGCTAGAGAGAAAAGGTCAATGTCATGGTTCATGAGTGAGCCACTGGGATGGAACAGCATGACTTCAGACTTCTTCTCATTGAAGCTTAAGAAATTTAAAGCCATTCAGTCCCGGATGTCAGCCAGGCAGTCAAGAAGAGGCTGAATAGAGCGTGTGCCTCTGTGCCTCAGGGGGAAGTAAATTTGGCAATCATCGGTGTAGAAATGAAAGGGTATGTTGTGCTTGCGGAAAATAGCACCTAGTGGCAGCAGGTATAAAGAAAAGAGAAGGGGACCGAGGATGGACCCCTGCGGAACCCCCCACTGGAGCGCTGTCGATGCCGAACTACAATCTTTGATATTGACACAGAAGGTTCTGTCAGAGAGGTAGGACCCAAACCATTTAAGGGCTGACCCTGTGATGCCCACCCACTGCTCCAGTCTAGAAATGAGGATCTTGTGGTCGATGGTGTCAAAAGCAGATGTAAGGTCCAATAGAACAAGCAGCACAGAATCACCTGCGTCTGTGGATATGAAAATGTCATTAAAAACCTTCAGTAGAGCAGTTTCAGTGCTATGGGAGAGATTTGAAGCCAGATTGGAATAACTCTAGGATAGTGTGATCCCCCAAAAACTGTTTCAACTGAGACTCCACAATTTTTTCCAGTAGTTTAGAGGTGAATGGGAGTCTGGAGACAGGCCGGAAGTTGGACATGACTGAGGGGTCAAGGTTAGGTTTTTTCAGGAGGGGCTGGACAGCAGCATGTTTAAAAGTTTTTGGCACCACACCTGAGGATAAACTGCTATTCAGAATAGCGAGGATAAAAGGACCCAGAGTAGGAAAAACTTCCTTTAGTAGTCGAGGGGGGACCACATCAAAGGGGGAACGGGGAATGAAAATGGTCATATCTCAGCCAAAAATTATTTTATAAATATGGGACAAAAATCCATAAATAAGTAGCTTTGGTGTATAAATCGCAGGGCATGCAAATTATGCAAAAAAACCCTGTAACTTATAGGGTGAAAAATACGGCACTTGAACTCATCATCACAGTAAGGCAGTCCTTCTCAAATAGTAGGGCGCGCCCCCCTGGGGGGGGGGGCAATGCGGGGGTGTGGGGGGGCACGCGCATGTGACCCTAGAAAACATGCTGTTTTTGCTGCAGGGAGTATTTTTTTTGTTTCCCACCATTCTCATTTTGTTGCATGCGTTCCTAATAATAATGTTATGAACAAATATGGCTTCCTTGTCGTTTTGGGAGTCATGTATGAACCGTGTCTCTCTCCTCTGCTGCTGACACGATGAATAAACTCGGACCGTCACCTCCTCCGTCCTCCGCTGCTGTTTTTATTTCCATTTAGTTTTATTGATGAGTTTGTTAAAGCACAATTTACAGAAGTAATGTTTAATAAATGTTAGGACTCTATTCTTTGCTAACAAAATATATTCACCTCCTCAGTTAAGCTGCTGTTTTATTACGTTCTGGACGTTTGTCACCCACAGCACGCAGGTGACAAAGAGTAACTCAAAGCGAGAGTTACCTGCTTCCTCTTTCTTCTTTCATGTTGACAATTATTTTATTTTTTTTTAATCGATGAGTGTGCTCATTGCTCCCGACTTCCTCATTTTGATTAAAAATAAATAAATCAGCATAAATTGTTTTATTCATTTTTGTTTTGTAGGTCAAAGTGTTTTATAAAACACTCCTGAGCTAAAATGTTGCTGATCACTTTGAATTTATTATTATTTATTGATTATATTTAATTTTAGTTTTCAGTTTCAAATGGTCCAAAATGTTTACAGTTTAAAAAATGATTTTTTTTTTCAGGCAAATTGATGCACTTTAAGTTGTTTCTGTTACAGACTGAAAAACTATGTTAAAGTTGTTCTTCCTTGTAAGTTGATCTATATTCTTTTTTTATGTTAATAAGGACACGGTGTTAGGCAGAGGTGTACTTATAATAATTTTATAGGCATACTATTTACAGTCGCGGCGGAGAGTTGGGGGAGCAAAATGTTTACTTCTTTCTGAGGGGGGCATAACAGAAAATGAGAAGCACTGCAGTAAGGCAAGAACTACAGAGATGAACAAACATGAATACCAGAAAAAGTGAACTTTTACCTTTTAGTCAGGGGAATGTCTCTTATTAATATGGATATGACGGTACTTAAAATAAGTAATGTGTACTGCAGTACAGACAGCCACGGGGGGTGGGGGGGGGGGGGTGGTACTTGTCTACTGTGTCATACATATAAAAGCTATGTATTTTGCAAAATTACTTATATTTGGTTTCTGATTTTTCATCAATCTCCTGCAGTCCAGGTGGAGACAGTAACAGGTTAGATGTGGCCTACGGGCCATAAGATGTCAATATGTGCTGGACAGCTGGCATGTGGAGCAATCTAAAAGCCCTCACAGTTTAAGGGCACATGCTCATGCTCACAACTTTAATGTGTTCAGTTCTCTGGAGTCACGCTGTTACAATACATCCTCATGCACAAAACAAACCTCAGTGCATCCTGGGGGCTCACCTGTAGTACACTCCAGTGTGCCCTTCATCAATCTTGTGCACAGATGCTAAAAGCATTGCTCCTCCAAGTGCAGCAATTATAGAGAAGACGGCACCCCACTGTGCCATCCTGGCAAGCAGACAGCGAAAGACAGCATGTGAAAATGAGCAGATAGATTAATAAAATGGCCTTTCAGCTGCATGCGACGGTTAAACTCCTCTCCAGCCAGTAAACACTTGAGTTGTGCTGTCGTAACACAAACGAGCAGGCTTCTTGAGTTTATCTCCTCTCAGCTCAGGCTTATCTCTGGGACTCCTACACCGTCACACTTAAAGAGGATTGAGGCTAAATTTCAGATACATTACCTCTCAAGTATTTCATCAAATAAATGTGAGAATAACATTTATACATACAGCCCTCCTTTAAATGCACACATAAATAAAGAAAATGAAAATATAAATGTTTAGTACACAGAAATTAAGGCAGCTACCTCAAACTTGGTTAGTAAGGATTTGTGAAAATGTAATCTGCTGACCTTCTGGCACAACACTGAGCTTGTTTCCAAATCTGTGTTTATTCAGCAGATGTTTTTAAACTCTCAGATTACTATATATAATGATTTCTTACAGTGATAGACTTTTAAACCAACATTGTGTTTTAAATCTGACATGTCTCATTGGCTTCATGGAACAGGTTGGTACATTTTGTTTTGTGCTTTTGGTCATAAAAACAAAAAAAAAACCTAATCTGAAAGAAAAAGGTCTGTAAACTCAATCATCCAGGTAGATAAATACAAAAAAGTTTAAATCATATTATCTGGACAAGTTTCCCTTTTTCCCTGACAGGATAAAACAATGAATGAAACAAAACTAAAAACATAAAGTTAACCCTAAATCAAAATAGCCACGTGTTAAGAGAACTTCTAATACAAGCCGAATGAATGTTATCATGTTAAAACCGTAAATGAAAACATAAGTATATGACAACATGTCTCTATGGTTGACTTATACTGAAGTTAGAATATGAAAATATCTAAACCGGTTTTGTAGCTAACGCCTAGCATGTTTTAAGTTATAACAATATTTATGTTCCAAAGGCAAAAATCACCTTTACGTGATACACATGTTTATTTATTTTTCGAACTAATGTCTCAAACCTTATCGGAGTCTCAAACCGCATCAAGAAACCACGTTTGCTTTAAGCTACTAGCTAAATGCTTGCTAGTTACCAACAAAACTTTAGCACGTCTCCTTCTGTTTTAGTAAAATACTATCCTATTAAATATTTCCGGGTAGGTAAGACATATAAAAATACATCGGCACATCCTTTTATTTTGTTTGAGTGGTCTTACCTGTTATTTTTATCTGAAAGTACAGCAAAATACACAAAAATACAAGCAGCTTCTTACTCTGGGCTAAACTCTGTTTGTTTGGCATCTAGTGTTGCATTATCGCCCCCTGCTGGATGGTCAGTGAACTGCTTCGGTTATTTCATGTTTGGTGCCCCTCAAGGCAACAAAGGCTTCTAAATATTACAGATAAATTTCTTTGTGCCTTCCTTCATTCTTCTGTCATAATTTTAAATAAATCACTATGTTCCTAATCCTAAAATCAATTGATTTAAAAATAAATCTGTTTTTTTATAGTCTATTAAAATTTCCTTTATTATGAGAGACTGCTATATTTTATTATAAAAAGTGTTATAATTATACATTTATGAATTAGTTATCATATTATGCTATGTTACTAATATTATATTAAGTGTGTGTAACTGTCTTTGTAATAAATGTTTTTTTTTAATGATGTGGACCCCAGGAAAAGTAGCTAGCCATTGTTACGGCAATGGCTATTAGAGATCCAAATAAATAAACAAAAATAAATAAATAAACAAATAAACTGTGATGAAGTGAAGATTCAATGAGTCTGCTGGCTTCCATCCTTAGATAGATAACTTTTACTTATTGGCTTTTGTATGTATGTGAATGTTTCTGTTCAGTGTCCTGAGACAACTCCTGTTGTGATTTGGCACTGTATAAACTGAATTGAACTGAATCCAAGTTTTTAATTTTAATTAAATATGTTGTGCTTTGAGGCAGCATGGTGGCGCAACTGGTAGAGCTTCTGCCTCTCAGCGAGCAGGTCCCTGGTTCAAACCCCGGTCCATGGGCCTTTCTGGGTGGAGTTTGCATGTTCTCTCCGTGCATGCGTGGGTTTTCTCCGGGTGCTCCAGTTTCCTCCCACAGACCAAAAACATGCATGTTAGGCTGATTGGTAACTCTAAATTGTCCCTAGGTGTGAGTGAGAGAGTGAATGGTTGTTTGTCTCGTTTGTCTCTATGTGGCCCTGTGATGGACTTGCGACCCGTCCAGGGTGTACCCCGCCCCTCGCACAGTGATTGCTGGACATGGGCACCAGCGACCCCCGTGACCCAAAATGGAATAAGCGGGTAAAGAAAATGGATGGATGGATGGATGGATGTTGTGCTTTGAATAGCTTATTCATGGTGAATTAAGTAAATTTTAAACAATCAAGGTTATATAGTTCAGGTGTACACTTGAATTGTAAATTAAATCAGTGTATTACTGTGTTGAATGATTTCTCAAGACAGATTTTGTTTTCAGTCATTTTCTTTTACACGGCCTTTTCTGTTAACAAATGAACTTAAGGTTGTTTAATTTACCAACCAGTCATCTGTTAATTAAGTCAATTCTAAAAATTACTTGTTGTATTTAAAGCACTAATGGGTGAGTGCATTACAATGTATTCGTAAATAGTGACTGACTCTTGTAAAAATCTGTCTGACAGATTAACTGGTAACCTCTTTGTTCAAAAATAAGTGAACCAGATGTAAGCCAGATGTTCCTTATGTCATACAAACATTTTTAAAGTCTTTGAACATTTTTATGGTGCAAACTATCCTCTGAACTGTATGAAGGTCACCCTAGTGTTTCCTTAAAATTAAATATATATATATACGTATATATATATATATATATATATATATATATATAC